TTATGTCTCTGCACAGTTTTACTGGAAGCTTGAAACATGACGTTGCATAAATTGGCATTGCCATAGTGATAGCTTTCATGAGAATCTCTTTTCCTACTCGATTTAGCATTTTATTCCTCCTACTGTTCATAGTTCTCTAGCAGTTCTCTTTGATGAAGCCAAACATTTGTTCCTTATTTCTTGTAATTACCATGGGCAATCCTAAGTACTTCCCTTGTTTCACCACTTGTATATTTCCCAATCTTCTGCAGATTTCCTTTTGTTTTTCCTGTTCCATGTTCTTGCTGAAGATCACTGAGGAATTGTCCAGATTGATCATTTGACCTGATCCTTGTTCATACATCTTCAGAATTCTCATTACTTCTTTTGCTTGGTTGGTCTTTGTCTTGCAAAAATCAATGAATCATCAGCAAAGAAAAGATAAGTGACTGAGGGTCCATTTCTTCTTATTTTCATTCCACTTAGTTGTTTATTCCTCATTGCTTCAGCTAGTAGGTTTGAGAAGCCTTCAGAAACTAGGAGGAATAAATAAGGTGATAAGGGATCACCTTGCCTGATCCCTCCAGTAGGTATGACATATCCTTTTGATTCTCCATTTATGTTGAAAGAGTAAGAAGCTATTGAGATGCAAGCCATAATCTAGTTAATCCATTTATCATAGAAGCCCATCTTTTGCCATAATTGCTTCCAAAAAGTTCCATTTCACCCTATCATAAACCTTTGGCATATCTAATTTCAAAGCCATAAACCCTTGAGATCCTTGCCTTTTGTTTTTGAGATAGTGCATATACTCATGAGACAAAAAAACATTATCCAAAATTTGTCTTCCACTTTATGATCTATTCCCTTATTGCAGAAAAGATTTTTAAAGTAGTTTTCCAGCTCCTCACCTATTTCCTCTTTTGTGTTGGCCTATGATTTGTCCTCCCTAAGAGTTCTCCGCAGTTTATTTCTCCTTCTTCTACCCTTCAAACTGGAGTGGAAAAAAGTGTGTGCTCTTGTCACCCTCCTTCAACCATTGGCTCCTTGATTTGTGGTTCCAGAAAAGTTCTTCTTCATTGTAATCTTCTTTTAACCGAGTCTTCAACTCCTGTAGCCTATCTTTTTTGTTGTGGCAATCAGACTTCGTCATTTCCTCCAGCTGCTTTTTAATTCTTTCTATCCTTTGCCTGGCATTCTCTTGGAAATTGCCTTTTCACTTCAAAATAGCCACTTTGCAATTTGCAACTTTTCTAGTTACTTTGTAAATGTAGGATCCATCCTGATCCTCTTCCCAAGCATTCTAACTACCTGCTCAATGCCGTCCTTTTTCAACCATCTTCTATCAAATAAAAATGTTTTTTTTCCTCTTTTCAGATTGAGGATCGAAATCCAGAAAAATCATATTATGATCTGAACTAAGATTTTCTATATGCTTGACTCTAATTCTATCAATCATTTGGCTCCAAGCATTGTTTCCAAAAGCTCTCTCCAACCTTTGTTTAATCTCCCCTTCAGCTGACCAATGATTGCTCTAGGTCTAGGGATTACCTTCAAAGTCTAGGTCAATAAACTCATTTTTTTCTATGAAACCATTAAACTCTCTGAAACTTCCTTCCCCCCTTCTTCTTCCATCCCATTTTTTCTCATTTGAAGTGATACCATTAAAATTCCCTGCAATCATCCATCTGGTACCCCACAGTTCCTTCCTCCTTTCAATAACTTTCCATTGGTTTCTTTTGATTTGATTATCAGTGCTAGCATAAATGCCAATAAACCACCAATCCATGTATTTTTCTGGATCCAAAATGTGTACTTCTATGGTGAAAGTAGTTGTTAGCACCTCAATCACTTTGAAATCATTGTTTCACATAACTGTCATGCCCTCAACTTTATTCATAAACTCAACTATAACATATTCATCAAATCTCAACTGTCTTTTTACTTTTTCCTTAAAAGGTTGTCTATTTTTAGTCTCATAGAGGAAAATCAGATTTGGAGAGAGGAGGTTGCAAGCCTCCTTTAGCTGAGGAATTGTAAAGGGCTCCCTGTCTTGACAATTCCACACTAGCAACCTTATTTGTCCTTTGGAGACCAAAATAGGTTGGTCTCTGACAAAATTTGAGTAAATTGACTGGAATCGGATGCTTTCCTCTTCCTGGTCCTTTCTATTAAATAAGAATTCCTGTACAATCTATTTTTGGTAAATCCCTATATATACTTGATTGATTGACCTAATATACAGCTATTGTAACCGATTTTCTATTCTAGGTAAGAAATATATACAGATTTTAGCCACAATGTCTGTCATAATCTGCCATAATCTTTCCCATAACCTCTGCCATATAATCTGCCATAATCTTTCCCATAATATCTGCCACAATCTTTCCCATAACCTCTGCCACAATCTCTGCCATTGATACCATTGATATCCCCCCTCAAATTGATGCTGGCTGATCAACAAGCATCAATTTGTCAACAAGAAAGTGATGACGATTTTTGGAGAGAGCTTTAGTAAACACATCCGCAATCTGGAGATCAGTGGGGATATGCGGAAGAGAGATGACCTGAGCATCATATGATTCACGAATAGAGTGACAATCCACTTCAATGTGTTTGGTACGCTCGTGAAATACTGGATTAGCCGCAATTTGAATTGCACTAGTGTTGTCGGCATGAAGCGGTGTAGACCCTTTTTGAGGAAACCCGAGCTCACCTAACAATCCACGGAGCCAAACAATTTCAGAGCATGCAGAAGACATAGCACGATACTCAGACTCCGTAGAAGACTTAGACACCCTGTCTTGCTTCTTGCTTTTCCAGGAAACGAGAGAAGTACCAAGGAACATGCACCAACCAGTAACTGAACGTCTAGTATCAGAACAACCAGCCCAATCAGCATCACTATATGCAATCAGCGAATAGGAGAGTTTGCTGGAAAGAAAAGACCACGAGAAGAAGTGCCTTTCAAATAGCGAACAATGCGGCGAACAGCTGCCAAATGAAGGTGCCGAGGTGCTTGCATAAACTGACTAACTTGTTGAACAGCAAAAGAGATATCAGGGCGAGTAATAGTCAGGTAGTTTAGACTACCCACCAGCTGTCGATATAAAGACGGATCAGAGATAAGATCACCTTCATCATGACGATACTTAACATTCACTTCCAAAGGGGTATCAACGGATCGACCATCTTGAAGACCAGCCAAAGCAATTAACTCCCGAATGTATTTGTGCTGGGTTAAGAAAATACCGGTGGAACTAGAATATACCTCAAGACCTAAAAAATACTGTAAAGAACCCAGGTCCTTCATATGGAAACAACGTTGAAGATGGTCTTGAAGTTGAGAAATCAATGCATAATCAGTCCCGGTAATAACAATATCATCAACATATACAAGAAGTATGACAATGCCTTTAGATGTCTTGCAAAGAAACAAAGAGGAATCATACTGGCTTTGGACAAAGGAGAAACCAAGAAGTGTGGAACGAAATTTATCAAACCAAGCACGTGGAGCTTGTTTCAAACCATAGAGTGATCGTTTCAACTTACAAACATCACCTGAAGGTGTGGAGAATAACCCTGGTGGTGGAGTCATATAAATGTCTTCTTTCAGATCTCCATGTAAAAAGGCATTCTTAACGTCCATCTGTCGCAGTGACCATCCCTTAGAAGCAGCAATAGCAAGAACAAGTCGTACCGTAGTCATCTTTGCTACAGGAGCAAATGTCTCCTCATAATTGATTCCATATTCCTGTCGATTACCAAGGGCCACCAATCTCGCTTTATGTCTATCAAGCGTTCCATCGGACCGTAGTTTAGTGGAATAGACCCATTTACAGCCAATGGGTTTGACACCAGTAGGACATGGTACGATGTCCCAAGTATGATTCTCCAAAAGAGCTTGAAGTTCTGCGTCCATAGCTTTTACCCAACATGCATGTTTAGTTGCTTGAGAATAAGAGGAAGGTACTGCAGTGTCAACTAAAGCGACAGAGAAACCATACCTATCAGGAGGTTTGCTGATACGGGAAGATCGTCGCAGAGTCACAGAATCATCAGAAGTGGTAAGAGGCAGTGGAGCAGGATCGGGAAGGATTTCTACTGATGGAGGTCGTCGACGTTGATAGACAATGCCAGGTCTAAATCGTTGAATTGGTGAAGAGATATCATCAAAGCTAGGAAGAACAACATTGTGGGAAGGAAAAGTGTGCTGCTGAAAATAGTACTCATGTTCAAAGAAAATGACATGTCGAGAGACACGCAAACAATTAGCAACAGCATCATAACATAAGAATCCTTTTTGAGTGGTGCTATATCCCATAAAGGCACACCGAACTGACTGAGCTGCAAGCTTGTGGCGCTCAGGAGGTGGTAGGTGAACAAAACAAACACAACCAAATGTGTGTAGCATGTGATAATTAGGATGTACACCAAAAAGACGATAATAAGGAGAATCAAAACCCAATTGTTGAGAAGGCAATCGATTAATCAAATACACAACAGTTGACAAAGCTTCAACCCAAAATCTAGGGGGTACAGAAGATTGCAAGAGTAATGTTCGAACCATATCCAACAAATGGCGGTTTTTGCGTTCAGCCACCCCATTTTGTTGAGGGGTATAAGGACATGATCTCTGAGATACAATCCCTTTGTGTTGCAAGTAGGCTTGGAAGTCATGTGACACATATTCCCCACCATTATCAGACCGTAAGATCTTAATACAAGTGGAAAACTGTGTCTCAATGTAAGCCACAAAGGTTTGAAAAACAGTAAACACCTCAGCTTTAGTGCGCATGAAATATATCCATGTGAACTGACTATAGTCATCAATGAATGTCACAAAGTATTTATACTGCGCATGGGAAATGACAGGAGTAATACCCCAAACATCACTATGTATTATCTCAAAGCATGCACTAGCACAACCAACAGAAGTAGGAAAAGGTAACATCTTACTCTTCCCCAATTTACACACAGAACAATCAAGAGATGATGCATGAGCAAAACCTTGATCTTTAGCACCAAGAAAACCACGCTTTATTAAATCAGATAAAATGACATTATTTGGATGACCCAATCGTCTATGCCAAATTTCAGCCTTATTGTCAACAATCATAGAGGCTAAAGATAAAGTTCTAGGAACAGTAAATTGCAATGGAAATAATCTTCCCACTCTAGGCCCCTTCGCGATTACCTTCCCCGACATCTGGTCCTGCACAAGACAACCACCACGAGAGAAATGTACATCACAATGATTCTCCACTAGCTGTCCAACAGAGATTAAATTAGTAGACAACTTAGGAGCAACAAATACATGGCGAAAAGAATGTCCAATATCACCAATAGCTGTAATTGGAAGATTACTACCATTAGCAATCTGAATATTTTGGCAACCAGTATAGGGCCGCAAATTTTGTAAAAAATCAGATGAACCAGTCATATGATTGGTCGCTCCTGAGTCGATAAACCAAGTAGATGAAGCTGGCTTACCTTGACCTTGAAGTCCAAGGGCAGAAAATGCAGTAAGAATCATCTGCTAGACCATTTCTGGGGTCATAACAGTCTGGCTGATTGTAGATGTCGGACCAATAACAGGAGCATCTGGAACAGTAGCTTGAAAAGCTTGGCTCGCCTGTTTTCCGGACGTGTAGGACATTCCTTGAGAATATGTCCACTTTGCTTACAGTAACTGCAGAATTTCTTACCACAATTGCGAGCAATATGGCCAAACTCCTTGCAGCTGTAGCACTGCATTTGTCCCTTTCCTCTATTCCTTCCTTGTGCAGCATAAGCAACATTGACAACCTCGGATGTCCCACCAGCTGCACTTAGAATTGACTGTGTAGCCAATCTTTGTTCTTCCCGTAACAACTCACCAACACACACATCCAAAGAAGGAACTGGATTTCGATTCAGCAATCCACCCCGAGCAGTCTCAAATTCTGGCCTCAGTTTCATCAAAAACTGATCACGCATGCTAACTTGATGAACTTTTTGAAAGCTTGCTAAGGCCTCCTTAGGTATCTCAAAGTAGATGATATCAGAATATTCACCCCACAGATTTAGAAACGCAGAATAATATTGCTCAATAGAGAGATTACCTTGACTGAACTTACTGATATCAAGTTCAAGCTGAAATCGTCTTGCAGTGTTGTGTTGATGATATATGCGTTTCAGAAAATTCCATATCTCCTTTGCAGTATTAAATGAACGTAAGTTGTTCACCATATGAGGTTCAATGGATGCTAAAATCCATGAAATAATTCGTGAATCATTTGATTCCCATTGACTTATTTCTTTCTCAGTTCCAGAAGCAGTAGAAGACCCATCAATGTGACCCCAAAGCTCCTTCCCTTTCAGAAACATTCTGAACTGAAATTCCCATGTTGCATAATTCTTCCCTGTAAGTCTGATACCCAAAGTCTCTGCAGATTGTCTTCCAAAAGAATTCTCAGCAGCCATCTTTAACAAAACTCAAATGCAAATCCGAAATCACAGATTGATAAACTAAGAAATATCAAAACCAGAATGTTGATTCGAAATCAACCCAAAAAGCTATAGAAAAAAAAATACTCAAAATATCTTATAGATTCAAAAGGTAGGCTGTGATACCATGACAAAATTTGAGTAAATTGACTGGAATCGGATGCTTTCCTCTTCCTGGTCCTTTCTATTAAATAAGAATTCCTGTACAATCTATTTTTGGTAAATCCCTATATATACTTGATTGATTGACCTAATATACAACTATTGTAACCGATTTTCTATTCTAGGTAAGAAATATATACAGATTTTAGCCACAATGTCTGTCATAATCTGCCATAATCTTTCCCATAACCTCTGCCATATAATCTGCCATAATCTTTCCCATAATATCTGCCACAATCTTTCCCATAACCTCTGCCACAATCTCTGCCATTGATACCATTGATAGTCTCCACCCCCTCTGCTGCAACTGCACAGTTTTCTTCAATTGTCTTCACTTTAACCTTTTTTTTTTTTATCATGTTTCCCACCTCCACATCAATCATATTTTCACACTATTCTGTATTTCTCTCAGAGGCTGTCTGATGATGTTAGGTGATTTCAGTTGCTTTCTGGTCCGTCTTGTGGTTTTTTGATTAGTCTTTACCACTTGGACATCCAAATTCCCATTCGCCTGCATTTCTTCATCTTCCATTTCCTTGCTTCTTTGTTCCAAATTCCTTTCTGTACCTTGATTCTTGTTCTCCTTCAGGCATCATAGTATTTGTTTTTTTGTTCCTTTTTTCCTCTTTGGTCAAGTCTGCACGTGTTGGACTTTTCCTCATTTGTTTTTCCTTTGTCCAAATGACATTTTCTCCATGTTTGCTTGAAGAGTTTTTTCTTGAAACACTGGTTTCTGTCTCATTTTTGCTAGTTTGTCCTGCTTCATTAGTTTCTTTCCATTTGATTTTTGAATCAATTCCCCATCTTTGAAACCCTACCTTTGTTTGTTTGAAGAAACTTGTGCTATAACCTATTCTCTCAATTCTTTTTGGGGTGATCTTTTACCATTGCCTGCTCTAAGCCATGGACCAAATTGGTTTTCCAATTTACGCTTTTCCACTAGCACTATTTCCTTGCAGTTCCTTTCACTGTGACCTATTCTTTGATATTCATAATAGAAATCAATACATCTCTCAAACTTAAAGCTTATTCATTTCACCTTTCCTTCCAGTTTGACAGCAGTTCCTCTCACTAATGGCAGAGAAATATCCATCATTACCAGTAAATAGATATGCCAACCTTCCTTTCCTCGTCGTTGATGTATTACAACTTCTCTAGTTTCCTGAAAGACTGAGGCTATCTTTTTTCCCCCTTCCTTAGATATCCAGTATATAGGTTGCTCCATACCTGAATCCATAGTGGGGCAATGTTGAATTTTGCGTCCTCCTCCTTAAATCCGTCAAGCCATTGTCTTTATACCAAAATTTGATAATAATCCATGGATCTCTTTTTAGGATCCTGTCCCTGTCTTTCTCATTGGGGATGAAAAATGGAAAGGGTTTGCTCCTTGTTCCACCACTTTTAGACCTTTTGGATATCCCAAAGCTAAAGTGACAAAATTTTTTACCCCAACAAAGTTAATAATCTTTTCTCTTTTCATTCTTTCACCAGGTTCTCCCCACTTTCTTTTACACTAGGTCCAACATCTCCTAGATGAATTTCAGCTCCGTCCATCTCCATGTTGGATAGAGCAAATTTTTGCAAGATTTCTGTGAGTTCATCAGCTATAACTCACCTTTCAATTATCCTTTAGGAATACCATATACCAGAATATTTCAAAATAGTTCAAGGACAAAAGGCACAGAGGTTTATTTAGGGAAATCTAGGTTTTTCTCCATCTTGGTCTAGTTGAAAGCCATCACTGAGAAAACTCAACAGTATAGGGAAAACTAGTATGTTCATATAGCTAAGAAAACACAGACTCTAAAACCAAAAAAAGCTTTCTACCTTTTTTTAAAAAAATAAAAACCTTCTTGCTACTATTTTTGTTTATAATAATAACCAGGAATAAAGCTAGAAGAAAGGAGTACTACAACTACTAGGCTAGATCTATCATGTGATAATTTTGGAACTATCTGTCTAGGCTGAAATCAAGGTAGAGTGAAGGAAAAGTGGAATTCTTTGCTGATTATTACACCCTCCATCAGCCAATCAGGATTGGAACTGGGAGAATCTTTGTCTTTGCCTTTAAGAGCCCCATTTATGTTGAGTTTGAGCAGACGCACTTCTATGTATTTAATTCGCATATGTTTGGGCTTCAGTGTTGTTTATTGCTTTGCAAGCTTGTCAGATTTTTAGACAGGAACTTCAACTCCCAAAAGAAGAATACAAGGCACAATTCCCAAGAGAAGCTTGTTAGATTTTTAGACAGGAACTTCAACTCCCAAAGGACGGAGACAAGGCACAATCTCCAATAGAGAGAAAATTTTGAAACTTTCGCGTGGGAGAGAAACTCCCAAAAGAAGGAGACAAGGCACAGTTCCCAATAGAGAGAAAATTTTGAAACTCTCACGCGGGAGAGAACCTGACGAACAATATCATAGACTTTGCCCAGATGACTCGATAAAATCCGACAATTATTATCACTGCTTCAAACCTTTTTTTTTCGGCCACGATAATTTTATTCTACATTACTCCTACTCTACACTAAGGGGAATTTTTTAGAAAATCTTGAACAAGAATGCAAATCCTTACCGATACCCAAGGAGAGAAATTCTGTACAAGAATGCAAGTCAAGGGATTTGATTCCTTGACCTACATCCAAGGAGAGCTTTAAACCTCTCCCTGGTGGCCAAGTACTCTAGAAGTAGTTGGTTATCACTGCTCCAATTACACTGCAAAAGAAACAAAAAACTTAAGTGCACCTGGTTGAAAATCTCCTTTTTGATCTGTTTATTCTTATGGCATCCAAAATCATATGAAGTGCCTCTCTATGTCTTTATGATCACCCACTGAAATTCTGTTCCTTGTAATGCAAATTGTCTTAGCAAAACTTTCCACATCATTGAAGAACCTTTTGACTTGCATTTTCGAAGTTCACAAATGTAATTAAGTAGGTCTACTGGCTGTATTATGAACTGGTGTCAGTGGTTTGACTTGATACACAGCAGAGCAATGTTGAGAGATATCTTGCGTTCCAACATGGAGTGTGTCGCCAAGGATGATGACACTCATCATTGCAGCAAATCAGCAATTGCTATGCCGAGAGGCTTGAACATAGCCACAAATACGGGGCCTTTCCTGTGAATACGCTAAGTTTGTATTCACCGAGTTTGCGCACAAAATGTCATAATGCTTCCGAATACAGCCTGTGAAATATCAGATCACTTAAAATGCATTCATTTGTCACAACAAAAATTGATTTGTCCTTTATTTATTTCATTTTACGGGGAGAGCGAAAGGCAAACTTAGAGAATCAAATTCCCATTATAAAAGGAGAAGGAAGAAATATGATCCTATCATCGAGCTTTATTTGGTTTTCTAGCCAAAAGTTAAATTGAATCAGAATCGAATCCTTGTTTGCAGTACGAACCGAGCAGACAATTGTAATGACTTCAATATCTGGCCTTGGTTTCCAAGGATTTGGGTTGTTTCTCTCTGCAATTAAAGAAACTCCAGCGCTTTGAATGGAGCCAAATAAGCAATAGACTGCTGCTGTAGTTAACTGAGAGGGGTACCCTTTAAGCAGTGCTGCCTTCACAAGAGTGCAGAGTAACATATTAGTCCATCTGAATTTCTGAAAAACGAATCTGTGACTGGTATTCTTGATAGCACTTACCTGAGAAATGTTCCAAAATGAGACGGATAAACAAGCAGTTGCAAAGAAGAAGCCTCCAATAACCCAATTATTTCTCACTTCCAATAGATAGGAGGAAGAGTTTAAAGGCCGATGAGAGCTTTCAGATGGAGGTGAAAGGGAATTCGTTACAAAAGAGCCAATTGAAGGACCCTTGTAAAGGGTTAAAACCAGTGCTCATGCAATTGACACCAGAGTTCCAATGATTTTGATC